CCTTTTTGCACCACCTAACACTACCCTGTGGGTTTCTGAGACTGTAACTCTTTGTGGGAGTTGAAAGCCTCATCTTTCTCCCTCAGAGCAGCTGGTCGTTTCAAACTACTGACCTTGCAATTCGTGGCCCTACTATAACCCTGAAAACTCCTTAAAACTGCCTCTCCTTGGTCTTTGTAGTTTTGCCCATGATTTCACAAGTGGACACTTGCGTTCTGTGTACTGTTGGTGTGACAACGTTTGGTCTCTCTCATTCGTCCTCAAACTCACTGTCATCCAGTTGATTCCAGCTCATAGAGACTCTTCGGAACCACTGCTGAGAGTACAGCTAGCAGCCCTCTGAAATGAGACCAGTGCTAGGGATGGAGGGGCTTTTCACATGACATTTTAAATCCCTGTTTTGTAAATGTCTCTCACGGGTGACAGCATTGTTTAATGTTTTCGATTGTCGATCCGTGGCAAAGCCTGATCCATAAACTCTTTGAAGTTTAGTTTTGCCTGTTTGGAGCTCACTGTGTATTGAACCCTCTCCCTACCACTGAGTGAAACTACAGATTCACCCTGCATCTACGTGGTCCTTTAGAGTAAACTACAGCCCATGGGGTTTTCACTGGCTGCCGTTGGACGTTGGTCGCCTATCTTTCTTCCAGGCACTCGTACCTTGCCTTCAACCTTCTTCTCTGTCTGTGATTGGGGAGCACTCCATTTTGCACACTATTCACAGAGTCCACTTAGAGACCCACATCTTAAAGGGTTGAATCATGTTCGCTCAGAAATTGGTGCGACTTTTCTAGAGCTGTTACGGTATCTTATTTTGTTGTTAGTCTTTTATGTGTTTCCATAATGTCAGTTTTTGTTGCACATATATAAAGCCTTCATATATGAGTTTAGTATATATTAAATGAGTTGTGCAGGTAGTATATGTGGACTGAGGAGCCCTGGTGCTGCAGTGGGTGAAACAGAAGCTGCTCCTGCAAAGTGTGCTGTGAAAAGGCACCCAAAATGTATGGGAGAACGAAGAGTCTGCCTGCTCCTGTCCAGATGTGCAGTCCTGGGAGCCCTGTAGGGCAGTGGTCCTCTCTCAGATAGGTTTATTATGCGTTGGACTAGATGCATTGTCAGGGAGTTATGCGAGGACAAGTGCCAGCCTTATTCTTTACAGTTTCTTGGTTATTCGTAGCTAAATGTAATTAAATACACATTTTTTGAGGATGCCTTTGTGAAGTACAACAAACGTTGTTGTGCCTGTATTGGAAATAATGACCTATTGGTAGAGGACTAGGGGACATATTTACTGACTTCAGGCTATTTGGATATTATATTCTCATTAATTCTTAATCACACTATTTTCTATCACACTACTTTCTTTCACCTCTTATCAAGCTGTGGGTGTGACTCTTCTTCAAACCTACCAGGAACACTCCCATCTGCTGCCCTGTAGTCCTCAGGGCATAATCTCCTTTCAGTTCCCCCTGGGTTACTTCCACCACATCTTTGAATTCACGGTTCATGGAATTCAATTAATTAGACAGGGGAGGGAACAGGATGTAAGACTGGCCCTGAATGAGAGGGCTGTGGGCAGTGTGTTTGGCAGGGTTCTCGAGAGAAACAAAAGCAAGGCATTTATGCTTTTAGATAGATAGATAGATAGATGATAGATAGATAGATAGATAGATAGATAGATGATAGATAGATAGATAGATAGATAGATAGATAGATAGATAGACAGATAGACAGACAGACAGATTTATAAAGCAAGAAGGAAGACAACCGCTTACATGGCAGCTCAGAGGGCTCAGTTTATCTCACTTTTGTGGAACAGTTAATAACTGAAGGTCCTTCAACTAACTCCAGCAGACAGTGGAAAACTGTCCTCAAGCAAGCTGAGCAGATTGGGCCTGCAGGCAGCATACACCACAGGGTGGGGCCACAGCCACAGCAGGAAGATGAGAAGGCACCACAGAGCCGGTAGCTAGGGAGCTTCGCAAGGCAGGTCCCAATGCAGCCTCAAGCTCTAGGATGCACAGCACAGCGACAAGATCCACAGGGTGGCGCTGCCCACAAGTAGTGTATCACAGGTTTGAGGCAAAAGACTCGTTTAGTCAGCATCGTGCTGGTCAGATCACCAGGAAGAAAGGGAGAAGGAGGCTGTCCATTTATCTGGCTTGCCCTCCGATTAAGCTTGAGACCAGGTTGACAGGCTAAACATCACCCACCTGTTCCTACAGGAGCCATGTTGGCACAGAAAACCTAACTCTAGCTGGCAGCTACTCAGAATGATTTCACAGTAGACATCCAGGTGCAGACTGTCTCTGTGTCTCCCAGTTTTTAGACATATTTATCTTTGGCGTCAGTAGCTTCACGAATTAGAATCATTGAAAGGGATACCTTCTTTGTTCGATGCCCTCAGATTTCCGCCCACTTACCGTGACCCTCTGCGCTCTCGGTGGTGTCGTGGGGTATGTGCTGGGCTGCTCACCCCAAGGTCAGCATTTGCAGAGCACCAGGCATCCCACAGGAGAGAGGTGAGGGTGTGTCCTCTCTCACAGTTACAGACTGAACCCCCAGGACAATTCTCTCACGTCCTCTAGGGGCTGTATGAATACGGATTGACTGCATGGCTGTTCTTTTTTATTATTATATTTTTTCTTCATATGCTAGAGGAATAAACCCTGCCCTGTCATCTCAGTCCTCTGAGTTCAGTAAGGTCAGCTTTTTTCTTTCTGTTTTTTAAAAATCATTTTATTAGGGGCTCATACAACTCTTATCACAATCCAT